ATATTAAGATTTTTTTGATTCCTTTTTGATAATATTAAAATGGTTTTTTAAGATAGGTTAAAATTATATAAAGATAATTTTATTTAAGAATTAAATAATAATAAATATCTGTTATTTTTTTTATAATAGATTTTCTTTATAAAAGAATAAATAAAGTTTTATATATATAAGTTAATCTTTAATATTTAAAATTTTATTATAGATTGATAGGTTTGTTGGTTTATATTTTTTAATAAATGGGAAAGGGATCATTATTTTTTCCTTTTTTGGTTAGGAATTTTCATTTTTTTTTTCCTTCTTATCTTTTCCATTGTTATTGTTGTTATTATCTAGAAGTTTAGGGGGTATTAAAGGTTGGGGAGGTGTTGGTTATTGAAAGGTTCTTAATGAGAATTTTTTAAAGGCTTTCCTAAATCTAATCTCCTTTAGGGTTAATTCTTTTTTAAGCCTTTTAATTTCCTTAAAGGTAATTATTATTTTGGTTTGTTAGTTAGGGGTTTCTTTTTCTTCTTAGTTATCTTCTTTTATTTTAATATTAATTTTTTTCTATGTTTTTAATTTTAGGATCTATAAGTATATCTTAGAAGATATTATTCTATTAATAAATTAGAATATTTTTTTTATTAATGATAAATCTTAAATATTATAAATAAATATGGATATTTTAAGTAATAATGAATTAGATTATTATAAATTATTTAGATCCTTATTTTGGAATTCCTTTTTATCTAATTTTTCTTTATTTTTTAAGTTAAAATCTATTAATTTATCCCATATTTAATTATAATATTATTTAAAAGATAATTCTTAAAAAATATAAAGGTTTTTTGTTTTATTTTTAAAAATTAATAAAATAAAAGAAGATTTAATTAATAATGGTAAAAAAATATTTTATAAATGGTTTATATCATTTCTTAACCTAATACTAATATTAATCAAAGAATTATCAAAATGTGATAAACCTATTCTTCAAAAAAATATAATTATTATTGAATTAGTTAATCCAAGGTTTCTTAATTTAAAAATAACAATATTAATAATAGGTTAAATAATTAAATTGGTTCTGTTTATCAAAGAAGCCTAAAATCCTCTTACCATATTTAAAAAAATAATCTTAAATTAATAATTAAAGAATTATAAAAAAATGATTAAATATATAGGAAAATTATGGTAATTATATAGATATTCTTTATTATTATTTTTTTTATGGATGAAATTAGATCTCCTTATTTATACTTATTTTTTATTATATTTGTTAAATAAGACTGGATATATTTATCCATATTTATCCATATTATATTTATTAGATAAGATTGAATATCCTTATCTATATTTATTTATATTATGTGTTATATATTCTTATCCTATTTTGATAAGGAAAAAGGTTTCTTCTAGGGTTTTACATCCCTGTAGGCCTGTGTGGTTTGTGACAATATTATATAAGAAACCTTATATATGTTCCTATAACATTGTTATATGAATTCCCAGTCTTATCTATTTTTAATTATCCTTTTATAATCTAAATTTTTAAATATATTTAAGATAAATAATTCTAATATTCTTTATTTTTTAAATATTCTTCTAATAATAATTCTATAGGCTTTTTTATAATTCCATCTCTTATATTTTTATATCTATATTTCATTATTTTTAAATATATATTTTAGATTTATTAAATCATTAAAATTATAATAATAATAATTTATTTATTTAATTAATTATATATAATATATTAATTCTAATTTAAGGATTTAATTTTATCTTCTTTTATTATTAAAATCTTATTAATCCTATATTACTTATTAATATAATTATATTTTATTAAAATATATTAGAATAATATTTTTATTTAATAATAATATAATAAAAATATTTTAATTGTTAATTTATATTAAAAATATTACTTTTCTTTTTACTTCTTTTTCTATATTCTAGTCTATATCCCATAATGATCTTTATTCATCTGAAAAAGAATTAGATTCTTCCAAAAAGATATTCATTTCTTCTTTTTCAAAATCCTTTATACTTATTACATCAAAATTCTATAATTAATTTATTTGATCTATAAAATTCTCTATTTTTATTTATTAAGTAACTTTATTATAATCTAATAATGGATTTTTTTATTCTTTTTTTTTTTAATAATATTAAATATTTTTAAAATTAAAGATCTTAATATTGTTATTATTATATTAATTAATCTTCCTTTTAGGATTTATAATTATTTCTTAGGTTTCTTATATTAATTCTTATAATATCCTATTTCTTAATAATTATAATATTTAATTTTACTTAAATCCTTTTTAAATTTCTTATTATTATTAACTATATTTAGGTTTTAAATCTTAGTTGATTCCTTTTTTCCTTAATTCTTTATTATTTTAAAGCCTTTTTTTTTTTATTATATCTTTTATATAACCTATTATTATAAAGAATTACCTTAATCATATATTTATTAATGGTAACAGGTCATTCCTCTTTAGAAAATTTATCCTTTATTTAGGTAACCATTCCTTTATAAAAATAATCAAATTATATATCTTTAGATAATTACCTTATAGCCATAAATCACTTAAATTTTATTATATAAAGTATAGCTTAACTTTTTTATTTAAGATAATAGATGGCCTTCCATGTTTTTTCTTTCTTAAATGATTTGTTAAACATCATTCATATTTTGTTTTCAAAATGTTCATATAATTTAAAGATATATTAAGATTCCTTTGATTTTTCTTTAATGATATTAAAATGGTTTTCCAAAATGGATTAAAACCATATAAGGATAATTCTATTTAAGAACTAAGTAATAATAAGTATTTATTATTCCTTTTATGGTAAATTTTCTTTATAAAAGGATAAATAAAGTTTTATATATATAAGTTAATCCTTAATATCTAAAATTCTATTATAGGTTAATAAATCTATTAATTTATATCCCTTAATAAATAAGAAAGGGATTATTATTCTTTCCCTCTTTAATTAAAGATTTTTGCCTCCTTTTTCTTTCTTATCTTTTCTATTACTATTATCGTTGTCGTCTGGAGGTCCAGGGGATGCTGAAGGTTGGGGAGGTGCCGGTTAAGAGAAATATTTATATATAGAGTTTGGTTTAGCATTATTATTATATTATAATATATGTGAAATTTAAAACAAACCCATTTATTACAAAAGTTGATAATGTAAAATGAATATGGATCACTTTTATATAAGATATCCAAAAAATATGCTATGATAAATTAAGGTTCAGCCGGGGTTATATTCCGGCTAAAAGTGATAATACTTAGGATTGCATTTTACTAAGGCTTCCTGATGATAGAATTCATATATGGGGTTATCTAGTGGCTCAGTACTCTAAACTATTAAATGAATGCGAGGCAGTTGGACCAAGGCAGGGCGGTAATATTAGGCACTTAAATCATCAAGGAAGCAATGGACCAAACTTTCACCCTCCCGGATAATATACTGCGGCCCACGTCCAGGAAACGGAGGGTACGTAAATTTTGAAAAATATGCGGACAAAACCCGCTCACAAAGTATCCAACAAACGACCAGTTTGCGTGATAACGATATTGTACGATACTAAAATACAAGAATAGCTCTCTTTTTCTTTTAACTAAGATTGGCATAGGTAGGCAGCTAACCATAAATTTTGGTAGAGATTTTGTTTGAATTGGAGTTTTTACACTCGACGTTTATGGTGTGAAAACTTCACGGATATAATGAATCTAAAAGCGACATGTCCTGCAAAAAAGGGTTTACTAGAAGGAATTCATATTGTATTATATAAGCAATCTCAAGAAAATCAGTGAAAACAGAATGGTCGAAGGGACAGCTTTCCAAGCATGAGTATTCGCCCACCTAGGTGGGGTTTCTTCTTTGTCTGAGGGTGTCAACAAAGATAGAGACGGGTGTTAATTTATCGCGATCTACTTGGTCCTGTCACCAACGGCATGATCGGTTCGAATACATCTTAAATTACTCTAACCATAATATATTTATTGTCAGAGCAATAGTCGTACTATATGCCAATACCCCCTTGTTAATATCCTCCCCTTTAATGCCACCCAGCCCACATACCAACATGCCTAATGAAAAAGGTACCCTTAACTATCTCGGTACGAACCCCTATTCTGGTACTTGCACCCTGCCAGCAGCCCACCCCCGATAACAAGGTCCTCAATAGCTCCCGTGGCAGTTAGTTTTTTTAGGTTTTCTTTACCTAACAACAGAGTTGTGAACCCCCCATATTGTTGGCCTTATGACATTAATATTAAATATAATCAACTAACAACTATCTACCAGAGCCTTGACTTATAGATGGCGGTAAGTAACCAAGTCTGTATCCGTTACCATTAAATCCAGAAGTTTACATTTAATTTTAACGCTATAGGGAACTAAAGACGCGTTCTTCGTTTCTTGGTCCTTCTAGAACGCGGCTTATGCTTAACATGATCGGGATCCATTTGCCGCTCCGGAATCCACACATCCTCGCTTTCTGGACGTCCATTTCACCGCACGCGATACTCCGTCTTTCCATTCCATCTACGGGTGCGTAGTACGGTTACGCCCGAGTCAACTCCTTTGTATCCTTCTTCGAATGTTTGGAGAAGCTCATCGTCTAAAATGTTCTTTCGGGGCACCCACCAGAAACTACCATCATCCAACCACTTGATGAGGAACAGATTCCTTCCCCACCTTTCAAGTATGCTCTCAATTGCATAGCCTTGATCGCTATCGGCACTATCACTCCCTAGCTCGTCGGTACTTGAGATTGGGCTAACTGGGTTGGGCGAAATTGCAATGACACCTTCCATTGGTTGTGAGAGAAGCTCATCGTCCCGGAGGGACGGGTCAATCAGATCATTGGGACATCGCAGGTAGCCTGGGGCTGTTGTGGTGCTATATCATCATGATTGATGGATGGACTGGCTCTCCAGACCGAAACGAGAAACAATCGCCTCGGTGAGAAGGGATTTCGTTGTGAGCGTTGAGACTAGCTGTTTGCTGCAAGTCGTTTCTCCACCCATGGGATCAAGCGCTGAGAATTTGCTGTTATGTAGAGATTCCTCAGTCTTTAGACCATCATGTCCTGTTATGAGATGGACGTACCAGGAAGCAAGTCCGTCGATAATCTTGGGCTCCGATCGAACGTTCACCATTCAAGTGCGGTCCCCGTCCATCGGAAACTGCGCGGGAAGCAGGTAGAAGACAGCTGGGTCGTGATTCGGGATATTACGGTGGACGGAACAGTCCAACCATTGGTCGCGTCTCCTGCCGAGCTCTACCATGACAGCTGGAGCCAGGCCACCACCTTGACACCGACGCCTTCTCCCCATTGTCACCAAAGCGTCCTTGACTGGAACCTGGATCGGATGCGGACGTACGTGAGGATGGTGCAAGAGATCATCCTTCCAATATATCCCGTCGTCGCCCCCAGGGAGATGGATACGAAGGTTGCAACCTTTTTTTGTCAGCTATCTGCATCACACACAACGGCGGGACAGAAGAGAAAAAGTACATCGGTAACGGATGAACCACATCCTTTTACTCCTGGTCCCATGGGTTTCCCAACCGAGGCAAATGCTCTTGTTCTCCTCGTTCTTTCTCTTGGCCAGTTGTTGTCTTATAAGGGAGACATCCCTAAAGAAGATGATGATTACTTTACCCTTGCCAAGGAAACGGGTCACATCGGTTGCTACTGTTTGGCGCATACCGATGCGTGTGACCATATTCTAATACACATGCTAGTAGCTCTATACTATGCTATTCGAGGGAGCCTTATGGAAAGCTGGGCCTACATCTTTTTAGCAAGCCAGAAAATAGAAATTCTCGTAAAAGGATCTGCCCACTGATTCTTATTGTTGACGCGTGTATGCTGACTATACTATAGACACAATATCCAGCAAGGGCATCTTACGTACGCCGCATATGGCAAAGAAATATGTCTTGCCTTCTGGGCATGCCTGAAACTAGAGAGGTAGGTCGTCGTTTTCCTGTCTAACATACTGCTAATGCTCTTGTCGCTTTTTAGCGATATCACAGGCGGCTCACCCCTACCTCGATCCGGGCTCTTTGATTACGCAGCGCAAATTCCGCACCCAGGAGAAGACTTTCTCAGGGAGAAAGGTTTTCCCGAAAGTTCTGTGCGTTGCTTCTCGGCTCAGCTGGATCTCGAAAAGTTGGCCAACCGGGCCGCCATTGTCGAAAGCAGAAGTGTTGCAATGGATGACTACTTACAGAATGTTCAGGGTGTGCTGCAGGACTTCAGAAATATTAGTCCAGTGCTTCGAGATCATGGATTGAAACGTGGAGAACCAGAGACACCATTAGCACACAATACCACCCGGTACTGGAGCTCGAAGGCTAGCCTTCTTCAGCCGTTTCTCAGGATTTTCCTCGAAAAGGAAAATCATTATGATGCAATTTCAGTGAAGACGATGGGAGCAGAAGACTCTCTGGCTGTTCAGGCTCTTGAAGCTCTTGTCAACAGCATATGGGCATACCACGCTATCGATAGCAGCAAACAGACCCTTATAACGAGCTTTTTGGCCACAGCTCCCGCGTAAGTCATCCAATGCCGCCTCCAGACGAAATCCTTCTAATGTGTGTTGTCTAGTCAACGTGTGAATCTCTTGCTACTGGTTACTTGCTATCGAGACCAGGTCCTCCGCAGCTTTATCAGCCGTGAGAGAATAAGCGCTCTCTTCACAAAAACAATTGCTCTCTTCTATTCTATGCCCCAGCCAAGCGGTCAATTGATGGCTGACATGAATATAATTGTCAGCCAGGCAAGAGACTTGGGCTTCCTAGCAGATCATATATGACAATCATCTCGACGCCAACGTCTTTAACCCTATAGACATTCAATGCTGGCTAATTAGGACCGCTGATTTCTTTTCTTCCTTGTGCTTTGATACCGTGAATTATTTGCCCTAGGTGCGATGTACGATGGAGTGGAATCAAATGTGCATAAAACACCGCCGATGCAGCTAATGGCCTGCACCTGGCCAGATAGACCTGTAAACCAAATAGATGGCCCCTCAGCCAGCTCACCCGAAAAGGAATGATCGCTGGCTGGTTACTGTCATCGGCGGGCGCGGCATGCAAGATGATCAGCTGGTTTAAATGGGCTTATATGTACGGCCAAGAGCTTACTGGGCTCCTTTGTCGGCAACATGCCTGTTTCAATATTGTATCTTGAAGAACAGATCCATTTTATGATGGAGGAGGATACGCTAAGTGGGGAGTCAAGTCTTCCCCTTAAACAATTTATGCTAAGTATATATTAATATGGATAATACTCTACTTGGTAAGACTATTTCTCTAAGATGGCTCCCTATGAAGAGGGAAGCTCCCCTGTGATAGATCGAGATAGGTTGAATTCACTCTAGTGAATGGCTTCTTAGATCTGTATTCCAACTGCCAGATATCTTCGTAGATCGGGTTTATCACAGTCTATCTAAGCCGGCAGCTACATGACGATAAGGTGCAGGATACAGTGGACTGGTAGCAGATAATAACCACCTAGATGACCCCCTTGGTGAGGAAGCTAATACGTAGCCGCTAACCAGTGATGCTTCTCTCATGGCAACGAGAAACTGCGCAACTAAAGCTCTCGTCATAGCATTAATTTCACAAGATCCACGCACATCATCCACGCACATCATGCAGCAACCTGAGTCGCATGCCTGTTGCTGCGAGAAAATGCACCCCCTGTACGCCTCCCTACCTAAGCACCAACAAGGAAAGTCCCTTTCCTTTCTTCTGCTTACCCCGGGCCTATAATAATCTCGTTTTCCCCCACCCTATTCCAATATATCAAAGCTAGATCTTGTCTTCATACGGTACAGAGCGAGCCTTTGATAAAGACACATATCCCCACGAAGTACATCATATTTACATCAAAACGTATCCCTTATCCACATAACTAACAATATGGACCGGTTGCCTAACCTGGAAAGTCTTGCACCATTCTTCGGCATTCACGGCATCTTGGCGCAGAATGTCATGCTAATCCGCCAATCTGCACAAAAGGCGAGCGGAGTTGACCCTACGTTCATCGTGACCTTAGTCGTTACCATCTGGGGTGTCATGAATGCCTGGACATGGGTTTGGAAGTTTGTTCAAGATCATTTCACCGCCACTATGCAAATTGCCGAAGGAGATGATCTATACCAATCCTTGATTTTCTGGCTGAATTCGCAATCTGACTCGTGTTGCAAGTTGCGCTCAGCGACGGGTAGGAGTGTTAACCCGCCGATTTGGGAAGAGACTACCACTAGAGTAAGCCTGCATTCCACTCACCCACCGACTGATATTTAGTTAATATCACAGCGCCTGGAACTTGTTCCGGACGGAATAGGCTATCAATTCTGGGTTGGCATCTGGCTCTTTTATATTACCTCTCGTTGCACCAGTCACGCGGATATGACAACAAACCCTCGTATAGAAATAATATTAGTTATTTCCTGCGTTGGACGGTCTATTAGTAAGCCAATCACACTCTAATAAAAAGCAAAACAACAAGTTTAATAGACGAGCCAGTTCCTTCCCGAGTTAGCTAGACTCGCTCGGGCCTTAGTAGGTGCCTACACTGGGAAGTGAATAAGCCAAGCATAGAGCCAAGCTCAGTCCCTTATGGGAATTATTGGTACGCGGCCGCGGGCCATTAGAGACCTGCCGATAATATCTGGCCAGATTGTACCAAGGCCAGTAAAATGATACTGACGTCCTGTCCTAACGAAAAATTCCCTTGCCTGGCTTTCTAGTATGTCGGATCGTACAGTGGCCCCCCTCCTGACCTCCAACTCACTAGTGGAGTAGCAAATTACCATGTCCGTATATCCTTGGGGAAGGTACCGCTGAGATACGGCCAGGGCTTCCTGCCAGGCTCCCAAAGCGGAATCCATCTGTCCCTCCAAATGATTGACCATGGCAAGCCCGAGCAAGACCGAGAGATGATTCATCTTGCTGAAATACGAGGTAGGTAGTACTAAGCTCCCACTCAGCTCTTGGAACATCTTGCGAGTCGTTTGTAGCGACCGCCAATCCAATGGTCCTCCTCGAACGTAAGTCTGCATACACTGCATTAAATAAGCATTGGCCAGCGTAACTTGAACTTGGGAAATGCCCCGTACGTGCGCCTGCTCCGTCGCCCGCGCAGCTAGCATAAGGATGGCTTCATCACACTTTCCCATTTCACTGAGGACAGTGCCGACAAGAGAGAGTGTCCGATTGTCTTGTGGTAAGGCCTCAAGGATTGCATAGGCCTCTTGGAAGCGGCCCGAAAACCGCAAAATCCTGGCGCGCATTAACGTCACTTCCCTATCCTGTACCGACCCTAGCGTCGACGCGCTGCCCTCCCACAAGGGCGTGAAACTTTCTAAGTGTTCTAATGCAGATGCTAGCGTATGAAGCCCAACACATTCCCTGGCCTTTAGGATGGCTACATCAGCGAGAAATGCGTGGGTCCGATGGTCCACCGCAGGCAAAGCAATGTGACTTGTCTGCTGCATGGTCCTCTCCTGATAAAGTAGTGCCAGGAATGACTTTCTTGCGTCAATAGTTGCCGCCAACACGGCATTATCAGCTGACAAATCTCTGATGGCACCCACCGCCTGCGTGGCGATCGAGATGGTCCTGTATTTCCATGATTTCCCCCCAAAGTGTGAAGCAGACAGGCACACTTCGGTGAACTGTGCCAAGCATAGCCTATCTACAACAAGCGAGTCGAGCGGAGTGATATTCAGGTAAGAGAAAACGCTCTCGAGCTGCGGCATGAAACCCTTGCACTCTTCCAAGTAGCTGTCGCATATTAGTACATCTATGGCCTGAAAACAAGATTATGCATAATATATTAAGTACCTTGTAGCTTCGAGAGCTCGGTGCTTGGGGAACGCATGCGCAAGGATCCGTACGACTTCCACGATCCAGGTTGGGTGCTCAAAATGTAGTCGGAGGAATTCCGCAATACGTTTATCAAGATCAATAATAGTTGCAGATGTTCGTACAAATCCAACATATTCTAAATCATAAAGGGCGTCCGTAAATTTCTGCTCACTAGCAATGCACATCGTTACATAAGCGTTAGTTTCCATAGCCTCCCCATTGCTCCCCCAAGACAACGAGGGCATCCAAAGGCGACGGAATAGCCCACGAGGTATACTTGTTGTACCTAGACATCGCAAAATACATGCAAGGTTTTGTGCATTAGGTCGTAATTTTTCGAATATCTGGAAGAGCCAATTGCTGGTCGAGGGGTTGCATGGGAACGTGCTTGACCGCATGATTAATTGAAGCTTTGATTCGTCTGTAGCCTTGTTCAGGAGATAATCCAAAGTCTCACGGTTCCGGAGGTTGCGCTGTACATCGAATGTGGCGTAAAACATGCCCACGAAGGCAAGGGGGCCCCCGCGATGCAGCGCCAGCCGGAAAAGGTCCGCTCTGGGTGTCTTCTGGATTCGGGTGTCAAGTGTTCGCGATAGGACATAGCTTTTTGCATACTTATCCTGGTCCCCTTGGAAATTGCGCAGTATTTCGCGCACGGCGCGTTCCGCTTGAAGATACTCGAGGGAATCCGGGAGGGTACGGTGACAGTGGGCAAGGGCATCTGCAAGTAATCCGCGCGCAGTATACGGCTCTTGCCGCAGAACGGCCTCGACATCTACAGTCTCGCCGTTGTCATTGACACAAACTAGTCGCATTTCTGGGACGACAAACTGGTAATATCCGATCCAGGGGTGCCCTAGTGGCCTAATTAGGTACTCCGTAGAACCTGAGATTCCACGTCAGGAAGGAGAAGGTGGGGAGCAGGAAATGGCGCTAAAAGCGGGGATCACTCGTCGCGCGGCTCTTTCCCTTCTTGGAACAGGGATCCCACAGTTAGCTACCCCGATAGAAGAATAGCCTTTCTACATAAATGTGGGCCACCTCAACTTTCACAAGATAATACATCATAATCCAAGGGTTGTAGTAAATGACTTATGCTGCTTAGACATAAGCTGGTACGCGATTTAAGGCGGAATATAATTCTGGACTATGCGAATAGCATGGCTGATAAAGTCATGAAAGTTGACCCTTTGTAGAGTTTTAGAATTCGAAGCTGTATTAAGGATTAGTACGGTATTTGTGCTTGAATTCTAAACGATTTCAAGTTACTTACATAGGTACTTATTGATTTACTTAGTGTTAGCTATGTTATTTTTAACTATTACTTGTCTTAATTTATGTAATTTATTTAAAATGGGACCTGCTAAGGCTAGAGGATAGGGGCAGACTGTGAGACAATATTTGGAATCGACTAGCCTATTAAAGGCAGTGACGTGGTAGATATCTCTCCGTATTCAACTTAAAGGCCTGTAGTTTATAGGAACAGGTCTCTGCTGAAAAGGAAACCCTGGACGCTGTTTTTTGGCCTTAAATTCTTCTGCTCTTAGCATTCCTACGAAATAAATGATATATTTATGGACGAACCAATGAAACCCTATTTCCGCTTATTATTAATTATCACGAACTAGTTTGGGGACAACCAGTTGAGCCATAAAGCAAAAGCTTCCCAGTGACCAATTGGTCACTGTTCCCCAATTCTGTATTATATGTGCTACCCCGCAGTCTGGAACGTAACAGGTTCTCTGAGGAAATCAGCTATGATGATAAAGCCTTTGAAGTAGTCTCCATGATGGAAGATCGTAAAGCAAGAATCCTTTGGCTCGGTCGTCGTGTGGCAAATCTTAGGAAATGGCTTACCTATGACGAAACGTCTCGCCGGTTCGGTGTCGTCCCCGCTTATGACGAGGACGTTGATTCCGACTGGGTGATGGTATGCCTAGGAGATAATCTATAACTATTATAATCGAGACCCTTGCGCCATTTCAATTGGGTGTAGTACATCTCGAGAGCACTCCCTAACATGCAAGAAAGTTTGATGAATGCTAAGATGCAAATTGTAATGCGACCTCACTAAAATTAGAATCTTTGCTCACATACAGACTACCTCCGAATGGGGGCGTTTTAGAAATAGAGACACCAGGATTTACTATATTATATTCAATATAATCGTACATGCCCCTTCGTATTCTGCTTATATGTATTCCAGACTAGAATAGGTAGGACTAATATTGTATCTAAGAGTATCCGACGCTTCTTATGACTATCTCTTTGTTGGAGCTCATAATGCTTGGGACCTGGGTGTAAGGAGGCAATTAAAAGCTAATTAAACATAAGCCCTGGTACCAATTATTTTCGCCGTGAATAAAGGAAGAAGGATTGGGCACTAGCCTAGTGCCTGGAGGAAGAAGGTTGTCGTAATGGGCTTCCAGAGGGACGATATCTATGTTCATCGGATTGTATATGTTGGTTCGGGAAGGGACGGTATCCGCGCTTATCGATTTGGGCCATTTATAAAAATATAACCCAGTTTATCTTTAAAACCAAATATATTATTGATATATCTTTATTAAATCCTGTTTAATAAAATAACATAAAAGACAAATTAAGCCGTTTGTAGTAGCGTATCCAAGTTGTCGGGAAGCGATTGTGGCGTAAATCAACTCAGCAAACGCCCAACTGCGAAATTTCCACTAAGGATATAATACAGGCCTTCTTATACGAGATAGTAACGTAGGTGTGACGAACCTAAACCCGGGTGGGTATAGTCGTTACGGGATCCGCTGATCCTAGGTTTCTTGATTTGAAGGTAATAATAGTAGTAGTAGTAGTAGTAGGTCAAGTGATGAAAAAGAGTTCTGTTTGTTAGAGAGGCCTGGGGTCCTCTTACTATATCTTTCATGTCTTGAAAGAATAGTCTTAGATTAATAATTAAGGAGCTATGGAAAGGGTAATTAGTTACATGGGAAATACTATGGTTATATAGATGTCCTTCTTTTATCTTTCCTGGTATCAGAGGTTATCATGATCTGCCTGATCTGATTGATCTAATCGTATAGATAGATCAATTAGATCAACTAGATCATATATATGCCATGGTCGCTCATCGGTTAGTTCGTAACAGTAGGTAACAAAAACTAAATATATTTATATATATAACCAACAGTTCAATTGCTAGTATAAAAATGATAGGATATTAGGAAGTTAAGACTTCTATGTCTAAGAAATTGGGAACCCAGGTAGATCAAGGGGGTCGTCCGTGGTGAGACTGTCTTGTTGTAGTCGAGAGGCGTGATTCTATACGAGGTCCGATTGCCAGCCTCAGGTTGGTGCAAGGACAGTCACTATTACTAGGTTCTAGATCAGATCCAAATACCCTAGCCATGTCACATTTATGCTATCTCTAAATAAGCCTACACAAAGCACAAACACCTGGAAGAGCCGGCAGGATAAGCTGCTGCACCAGTGACTTTATTGATGACAACCCACCAGTTAGAATTGCCCCAGGAGACGATTTATGGAAATGCAGATGGTAGCCGTGCTATTTGTGTATTATTTCTATGCTAGGTAGGTACTACTTCTTATTGGTGACCTCTGACCGGATGGACCATATGTCTGTAAAAGGAGACTGAGGCCACTCTGAAGCTAAGCCAACGGTCTATGCATTAACAGGATGCCAACATGTAACTATATATGCAGCACTCTTCACGTAACAACCAGTGGAGATCTTACGGCACCCTGGGGGCCACTGACATCCCGCACAAGTCTTCACAGGTTGGGTAGCATGCAGCCGCTGAGTGACGCGTCGATGAATACATCACAGCGAGCCACGTAGGTCTTGCAAATCAATATTGGCTCGGGGGACTGTTGTCACGGGCCTCACCTTGCCTCTGGCTATCTGCCATCCCTGTGTGTTATGGTCGCGAGCTCCCGTCAGGATATAAAGACACCCCATCCTTTCAAGTTAAGGGCAGGGGTAGCAATGATAGCTTCAGTCCATTGTAGTTACTAGATGGATCTAAGAGATAATATACCCCGTCAAGATCGGTATACTGGATGACCCAGAATATAGCCTCATGATATTATGAGTTACCTATTTAATCTTCATTGCTTATTAATGAGACTGTTTGCTTACTTATATTGTCGTTATGTTTGTCCAACAGATCGCCGCCCCTGACTCATTCATTATGTTACTTTGGGCGAGAAGCCCTGTAGAGGTAGAAAGTATAAGCTAATTACCTTGCCCCTTAAGCCTTCCCTACAGGGGCCTGCGCGAAGTGACTACTAATGTAATTACTTGGGTGCCTTAATACACCCCTGGTTAGGGCCGGTCTGCCGCGAAAAGACTCATTCAATACTAATTTATCCCATCTGATATAAGACAGACCAGCTAGGTTATAGTATATTATCATTAGACGATGTTTTCCAGTTACAACTTTCACACTTAACGTTACGGCGAAGCATGATTAAATCACAAACAAAAGTTATTATCATATAATAAAATAATTCTTTATTGATAGTAACTAGTTTTATTTACAGCTATACTCCTATATATATTTATTATATAATATTTTTATATTTAAAGTCTATCTTTTGTTAAAAGGGAAGTAATTTAAAGAAAATTAATTTATTCAGTAATGGGCTCGAGTAATCTGTAAATAATACATATAATAAACTTTATAAATTATATCTAAACTTAATTTCCATCAAAATGAATGGCTAGAGAAGTTAAATGTGTAATATAAGGTCAACTTAATAAAGGAAACTTTTCCGAATCTGCTTCTGAAGATACCGAGGTATCACTTTTGAGCCAGACAGTAGGCGCAAGGAATAGGATGGCCAGCGATATGGTTTCTACAAGCCCCCGGCCCTTGATGCCATGAAGCCAACCAGTTTGTTAAACTTCCGCAGGGTTCGTT